TAGGCGTGTCAACTCCCCAATCTCAAGATTAATTTCGCATCGAGAAATATTTGTACAAAATTTTATACCAGAAAAAGCCAAATCTAGCTAAAGCTGCTCTTGAAATTCATTTAAATTGATTATCTTAGAATAAGTATAAACGCGATGCTTGGGCATGGTCATCGGTAAATATACTATGGCATGCCGAAGTGAGTTTTTCAAAATACAAGCTCATAGCAGGGTGAGTAGTCCTACGACGGGTCCAATCTGATTTATATTCTATAGATTTCGTTATTGGAAAAAAATTTCCTTGAAACAGCTTAGGACTTTGCGATCTATAAGATGAGTATAATACTAAAGTAAATACTAAATAAGACAGACAGAGCGACAAAGAGAGAAAGTTAAGTCGAGGCAGAGAGCTGTTCTAAATCAATTAGCCTATCATAAATCCTCCTAAGTGTGACATATCTCCGCACAAACTAGATATACCCTATACCTTAAATGAAACCTTAAGGAACATTTTTAATTAACCCATAGTACATTAAGTAGTAAGTTAGCAAGTTATTTAAGTATATTAAGTAAGTGTGGATACATATAGATAATGCTATTGTTTTTTTCGATTTGCTTCCGATAGGCGTTTTTATATCCTATGTAGCTTATAATAGGGTTTAATAACTTTGTGCGGATGCCTGCAGTGTCAGTGAGGACTTGAGATAAATTCATTGTTCATTTTGTTACATTAAGCGTCTGTTTGCTCCATGTGTAGATTGAAATTTTCGAAATGTTTTACTGGAATGAGCTTCATTGAAAATGCTTTGGATTCAGCTGTGTTTGTGGTCAATCCACACATTACGCCGCATTAAAAAGAAAAACAAAAACAAAAAACCGCAATTTTTATTATTTCGCCAGAAATAAATATAAAAAATTTGAATGGAACGCAATTGTTTTTTTAAGTTTGTCCTTTAAATAACATAAAGTCCAAGATATCTTCTTGAGAAGAAAACCAGTTTTGTTAAGTAGGGGGATCGTGTCATGTCTCGAGCTCATCTACGACATTCCTATTACTAGTATTTCGATAGTGAATTAATAATAGGTGTGGCAAGTTTCAGTGTTTTATCAGCAATTTTCAGATGTGTGTGCACTACTTGGACGAAGAATTGAAGATGACCGTCAACCAACCTACAGCTTCTCTCAGATGATTTGAGAAAGAGGGCCTCCACCTACTATTTTAATTTTAATTTCATTTCAATTTTTCTTTCAATTGCTTATCTAAATAGTCTTCACTTGCCTATCCTAATGCCATTAAGCCAAAAAGGGTCAAAAAATAATTGTTCTGAAGTCCGCACAGCAAAATCATTTTGCTTTCGAACAAATTAAAAAATTTTCATCTCATTTTTAAAACGACTGAACCCTGAAAGCTTTTCATAAAACGAAAAAAAAAAAGAAGAAAAACAAACCGAACAACAACGACTAAGCGAACAAGAAAGAACATTATTTTTCGGCAAGGCCTACCAATGGACACTCTACGCCTTATTACCCAGTATAGTTATCCAGTCGTTTTGGTAATAATACACTAAATATTACACATTCTTTTAAGGGAAGGGCGTACTTTTCGTGAAAGCCCGCATATTGGAGAATGCCCAAAACATCATATGGCGTCATCCAAAAATAGTAAATTCAGTTTACTTTTTAACCATTTTATTATTTTAGAGTTTCCACCATAAAAGGCTTGAAAGTCGCGATTCCTCCTATATGAGGGTTTGCTTTTCATTTTAACCTCTAAATATATTAGGGTCTGAAAAATAGACTAATATGATTCAAATTCTCTAACGTAAATTTTTTTGCTTAATTGCTACTGTGGATTAATTTGCATCATAAAATATTAAAAAAGAGTAATGGCGAGTAATTTGAAAAGCCATCTTCAGCAGCATTCGTCAAAGCACATTAGTGTATAAAATTTCATCAAAATATCTCAAGCATTCCGATTTGTAGGTTGAACACAAAAATACTTGGTCAGACAGACAAGCTTGGATTGATTCAGAAAATGACTTTGAATCAATTGGGATAATAATAAAAGTTGGGTGTATGTTAAGACCTTATTGTTGTTACGTACCTCCGGACAAACCTAATACATCTTTTACTACACGTGGCGTAGGGTATAATGATAATTGGCTGTGTCTAAATCTTTTATTCTTCTTGAAAAAAAAGTTTAAACAAACGAACTGATATATAACACTCTATAACACTGCATAGATATTGCAGATATTTTGCACCTTTCGACAGGGACTGTAGGATAACCTATTAAATGTAGATGGAAATTACTGTATCTCTTATGCTTCATGAGTAATGAGCTAAGAATCCAGACATTTTGTTTTTGAGAACAGAATTGTTCTCAGATTTTGGGGGCGTATCCTTTTACCTTTCATCTTTTATCAATCAAAGTAAGAGCTTCGACAGTTGTTGCCGAATTCAAAGACGATGTCTTAATTTTTGTAAAACAAGACCCTTTGATACGAACAGATAGCAAGCGTACATTTGTAGATCGATTTAGCATTTGATACTAATACTTGTCAGAGTCTCTAACGCTTTGTTCTGATTGTTTTAAACGTTTTGATAAAGTGAAGACACTCGCACCCTCGCGTCGGTGGGTATACAAAAAAAAAAAAAAAAAAAAAAAAAAAAAAAAAAAAAAAAAAAAAAAACAAGAGAGGCAAGATTTCTGCAACGCTTCTCTTGCTAATAATTTATTTCTGTGATCTACAGCACATATATGATTCGTTTCCCGGCTATATTCAAACTGTCAATGCAGCGTCAGTTGTTAAAAAAATCTAGACGCCACACTATTCTTATCAAATATTAAAAGCATGTGCATATATTCGCTGCCATTTGACAATATTATCGGCTTTACTGAAAAGCAATGATATTCCAAACATCGCAAATATGCAAATTCTCAAAGGACAAGGCGGGAAATGAAATAAATCTTAACGTGCGTGTATGCATGGTTTATATATAAATATTGGCAAAGGAATGAATGTAACGTAACATGCTTTCGTGCACGTTTCCAACCGTAGTTATATGTAGTTATATGTAGTTATATGTAAGCACACTTACTTGAACGTACTGAGGTACCAAATTTAAGTTCTGTTTGGTAACAATTACAGTTTTGAATGGCAGACACATAGATAGAGGAGCAGAATTTATATTTAACAATTGGAGTCGAAAAGTTATGCGTTATTTAGATTCATTACATTCCCCCTAATGTAGGCGTTTACTACAAATGTATTGATAATGATAATGATAATCTTCTTACCGTGGACACACAAATAGCCCACAGTTCAATTTGCGAGAATAGGTAGACTTTTAAGGGCCGACCATCATTGCCGTCGTAAAATAATAAAAATCAAAGGTTCTTGTTACATGAATACTTACTTCTCATGAGAAGTAGGAGCGGGCTCAAAAAGAAAAAAAACAAAAAAAAAAATGATTCAAATTTAAAAATAGTAAATTTATATGTTACAATGCTCTATAAGATGAATTTTTAGCAAGAAATAAAGTAAAACCTAAATCTTATTGCCATGCGACGACTTATGTTTTTTAAGAGCATTTCTGAAGATGTGGGAAGAGCGGATGAAAAAGTACACTTTTGCTATTGAAATTTTTCACATATTCTTGCTATGTCGAAATACTTTCATTCACTGCATTATGCTGGGAATTGGCATATTTCTTGGAAACATAGAACAAAACCCTTTTCGCATTGGGCCAAGATGCCGCCCTAAAAAAAAAAACAAAATTCATTACAACAGTGCGAAAATTACGTTGAACACAAACTATATAGACAGACGTAGATATGTGCTGAATATATGACAAGATTCTCTTGATCTTTCTCTAACCTTAAAGGACGAGGTCTATTTTATCCAATTATTTCTGCTTTATTCATTTTAAATGTGGGCTACGAGATTACGTGGCAATGATTTGTTGGCAGTGTATCAAATATCGTCAAAATATCTTAAAGCTTGCGCTAAGTAGGTTGAATGCAACTATAATAGACGAACAGGCAGACAGAGAAGGTTAAATGGATTCAGAGAGTGTTTTTGATTTCATTGGTATAAAAGGAGGTGGGTCTACGTGAAATCCTTTCCGATATTTTATACATCCCGCATGAACTTAGTATAACTTTGCACTACGAGTGTTGTAGGGTGCAATTATTTTTTTAATTTACATTGACAAGATAAACCTGCGAGATGATAAACTCATATACGCTGGTTTTTTTTCCAAACATAGTCACCATATAATAAATAGATTAAACTTGACAAAGTATGCGCGCATAAGAAGAGTAATTTTGGTCATCCATCTAGGTATATCGTGTCTCGCTGTGAACTGGGAATTTTTGAATTCATTCCAGATTAAAGTGGAGCCACTTTCAATGACTTCTTTCTTTATGACTTCGATATAGTCTTGGTGGATCTATTTTTTTTTTTTTTTCCTTTTTTTGTATCGTATAAGATCTGCATACGAACGATGATTGATGTGGGGAAGATTTGCGTTCTGTCTTCAATCGATTCAAATGCATGCTGTCATACGAAAATTGATTAAATGCTTCTGTTAAATTGCTTTGTGCGTGCGTTATCGTTAAGATAATTGTTGCCAAGGAAACACTAACGCATACATTTCAAAAGAAATAAGACCGACATTTCTTAATATTTAATACGAAGTGACTGGCAAGTAAAGTGTTTTGCCCTTAAAAACGCGCAATAAAACCATTTGTGAAAATTTCAATTAATTGTTGTGTTCGAAATGCTACTTACTTACAATCACATCGATCTGCTTGCGTTATAGGTTCGTGAGTATGTGGCCCATTGATCGCATAGATGTCCGAAGCCGGCGTCTGTTGTTAATTAATATGTCTGGGCGAATCTTGTAATTGTCTGGGTGCATTCGATAATATCAGATAATGTTTGATTGAATATATTGACTAGAAGAGGGCATTAATGTTTCTACTTTATTTCTTTTTGTATTTGTAGAGTCCTTGGAAATCATCACTACCATCTTCTTACAAATCCAGTACTGGAAGTTCGGTAGGTTAATTTATATAAAGCAAGCTAAGCGCTTTTAAACGCTAAGCAAAATTTATTTGATTTTAATTATTTTCCTTTCTTCTTTTTTTTTCTTTTAGTATTCGTCGCGTGATGATGTTAGCGCTCGTTTTTCCGCTTTGTCTTCGCCCAGTTCATATAGGCCATCATTTTCGGGAGGGACGTATCGCATTAAGCGAGATCCTCCTTCAGTTCCGGCCTCTACGTATGTTAGCCGCTATGGCTCTAGCATAACCACTACACTTAATAAACCCGAAAGAGATACGAGTGCCAGAGAAGAGTGTTCAGGATCCCGGACATCGTCTCTTAAACGTTATGGTTCCACTGCCAGCTCCTTGGGGCGATATTCACGAGAACCTAGCCCTGCCAATTTAGAGCATACTAATCGGCTAAAAAGTCGAGATCCTAGCCCAGTCAATCGTTCGTTAAGAGGCAAATCACGAGATCCCAGTCCTGCTGTGGACAAAAAAAGCAAAATTGGTTATTCTGCCTTGAATTCTTTTCGTTCGGGTTCGTCTAGAAATACATGCGTTGCCAGCTATACGGGGCGGTATGGAAATAACAATAATGCAAACAATGTTGTGAGAGCCTCTGTTCCAAGTGTCCCAGATAAATCTATATCATATTTATCTTCTAGTGACATTAAAGCTCGTACACTAAGTAAAACGAAAGATTCCAGTAATCGTAGATCTAGCGAAACTGATGTAGAAGTCGAACCACCGCCTACATCCAGTAGGGATTGCAAAGATGATGCAGAAATTGAAGAACACGAAGAGACTGATGCTTCACATGAAGAAGAAGAAGAGAAGGAGATATTTATAACTATAACCGTAGTAAATCGAGCAACATCACCCAATCCACCGGGTACAAGTAGTGCACAACGAAGTCGCCGTATGGATATAGCTAAAACAATTGAAAAGACTATTCAAAGATCTACTAAGAAAACCGTTATGTTAGAAAAAGAAATACAATCAGATCGCCTGGATGATTCTTCGCGCTATTCACGTTTTGGCTTGAGTGGCAGAGCTTCTTCTTCTTATAGTCCTCATAATGATCGCTATACTTCCACAAGTTTACGTTACAGTGTTAGTCCTCTTGCAATAACTTCGAGGTCTAGTTCGAGTGATAACAAAAAAGAGGACAACTCCAGTTCCAGTTGTGCCACCAACGCAACTACTTCCGCCAGCAATAGCAACAATATTAGCAATGGCAATAACACCAGCAGTGGCAAGAGCACGAAATCACCGCTAGTGAAAATGAAACTGTCTCCGCCTAAGGCGCTAAAATTAAATTCTCGTCAATCTTCTGTTGAGAATTTAAGCGCTAGTGCTAGTAAACCTCCAGTTGTACCAAAAAATGAATATCTTGCCAAGTGCACTAACGCAAGTACAAGCTCGTCTAGTACATCAGCTAGCAAACTACCTAATAAGGATTTTAGAAAATCAGCATTAAACGTGGGACCTACGGATCGACCCCGCAAATCTCGGACGCCGAGTTCGGGTACGGAATCTGACGCTCAATTAAATAGTGTAGAGGTGTTAAATGGAGCCTTACACGTTACCCAAGGCTTAGAACGTTCACCCAGTGCGGGTTCAGAAGTGAGTAACGCCTCTTCACGTTCTGCAAGACGTACTGCACCCGATAGCAAATTACGGCTACGTAGTCACAATAAGCCAAGCACTTCTTCCCCACCGAGCAGACATAGCAACAACATAATTTCTAAACAATCCTGTAGTAAACTGAGTACAGGTGGCACAATGCCTAACGTTGCAATAGCGACGTCATCTTCAAGTGGTGCAGAAAGTTCTAGTGAAAACAAGAAGCCGGCAAGAAAGGCCGCGAAGAAGAAACACAACAAAGAGGGGAACTTAGTGGTTACAGTAGCAGAAAGTGAGACTAGTTCGGATGTAGCAGTGATAAAATCGTTCAATGAAAAAAATTTGGTTGCCAAATCAATAGCAAACCATACGACACAAAAAGTAAGCAAAACTGAATCATCATCTAGCGTGCTGACGTCAAGCAAATCTAACAATGTCTCGTCATCGGAAAAAAATCCCTTAAGGCGTTTGCAAAAATTATCGAGTGTTTCGAATTTCTTTGTAGCTCATCAACAAGATGCTAATAGCGACGAGCAGATATTCGTCGAAAGCTCTGAGAGTTCGGGCGGTGATGCCGACATCAATGCAAAGCAGAGCAACAGTGTTAGCGAAAATTTCGAAACGAAAACATCAACAACGAAAAACGATAGTTTAATAAATTATAGTAGTAGTCAAACGACTCAGGAAATTTCCTGTGAAAAAACGAATAGTTCAAACAAAAGAAAATCTTCTACTAAATCAAAGTCGAAAACAAATTCATCTCCTTGCTGTCTAGACGCAAGCAGAATAAACAAAACGTCAACTTGTATGAGCCCTATGGAAATGCAAAGTGAATCCTTGACCTCCTATACGACGACAACAGCCACCACTGATTCGATCACAGATCAAGAAGAGCCCAGCTGGTGGCAAGATACAAGTCGTCAAATTGATACCGTTTCAGCTTTAGATTACAATAATATTGAAGAAGTGGGTTATAAGGCAAGACATATTGAATCGGGTGAACGGGATTGGTGGTTGAGGAACGATGAAGACGATACTTTAGCCGATGATGATTTGAAAACTTTAAATCAGCAAGGCGACGATGATGATGATGATAATGATGAGGAAGGAACTGATCATTTAAATTCACTGCCAACGACTCAAAGTGGAAACGATAAATCCGCTTTAACGAAAGGAGACTGGTGGACAAATGAAACAACCGACGAGACTGACGAAATCGCTAAGCATAGTGATGCCGAATATAAACCACATTTTTATTGTGACGATAAGGAAGAAAGGAAATCTTTACCTCAAAATCTGGCAGTGCCGGAGACTGAATGCTGGGACAATAATGGAATTGGCAAGGCAATAAACGAGTCACTTGAACAAGAAGATTCGATGCGATTAAAATTATGCAGCGTAGGTTCTGGGGAAAAACTATGGTGGACAACTGAGGAATATCCAGAAGCCGTGAAGCCAAGCCACGAAATAGCACTAGAAGCTACAACAGCTGCCTCATTAAAAGATCAAAATGTTGAGACTTCTTCAAGTAATAGTGAACCGAAAAGATGGTGGATGGCAGGACCGATCAAAAAACTTTTCAATCTACAGCGTGTGGATTCAGAAGAGAAAGCTTGGTGGCAAGACACCTCTGAAAAGGAAGCTAAGTATACAAAATCTAAGCATAACGATTCCGACGAGGAGGAATGGTGGTTAGATAATAGTAAAAAAGAACAAAAGCAACAAAAGCACCAAAACGAAACATCGCAGACGTCTGGGTCTAATAACAACCATCAATCATGTAGTAACGGTGTGAGTGATGTCAATGTTGAATTAAGTAGTTCGTTTAATTTTGAATATTCAGAGCGTCCGCCACCACTTGGCCAATGCGCCAGTCCCGTTGAATATAGAGAGGATACTCAGCAAATGCCGTCACTGTACCCTAACATTCCAATGTCAAAAGTGCAGAAAGTAAATAATCACCAAGCACATGTGATCGCAAAAGCACAGCATAAAGTGAATAATAGGCAGAACTATGACAACAGTAGCAAGCTTTTTATATCACGTCATCAAAATATTGATGAACTTTTGGGAGGTTCATGCCGTCCATTAAGTCCACTCTTCCTGGATGGTTCGACCTTCGGAGTAATGCCTATACAACGCAATATGTTTTTAGAAGAGATAACACCCGATCAAGTGCGTATACATGATAGTACTCCGCAGATGCCAGTAATACAGATTATGGATAGGTGAGTTTATCGCTAATAAAAAGGAAGCAGGAGCAGCATGGAGACGAAAAAAAGTTTCATGGTACTCTCTTTGTAATAAAAATTATATGCATTTGTTTTTGGAACTCGTGCTACAGTTTTATTACATTTTTGCAGAGTCGAATACGAGCGTGATCCTCACATGGTTAAAACAGCAATAACAGCTTTGCAAACGCCCCATTATGAACAAAAAGTAAGTACAGTTCAAATAAAAACATTTGCATTCACAAGTCTTCTATTACGATTGAATTATTATAAAAAAAGCTGGCCATCGCGTTTTTCTCTCATCACGACCACTAAGTTAATAATAGTTTTTTTCTTTCTTTCGTTATTAAAACACCCAAAAAACCGGCGTTTTATTTACTTATGTATCTCTACCGGACCGAGTCAATTTTGCTCATCGTAAGGCAGATATTCAAATATATATAAATTGTTGAATTATTTTATTTGTTGAGCATGTTTAGAGAGGAGAAAAAAAAAAAAAAACAAGGCAAAGAAAAGGTAACATAAGATGAGATAAGACACACTAGGACAACAGAATAGAAAAGAAGATAAGATAAAATAGGATAAGAGAAGAGAAGAAAAGCGAAAAGCATATATATACAATTAATTATGTTTATCAAATTATCAAGCGATGCTGATTTTGTTACAGGAAAATGTTCATAGGCAATTGCCAACTATAAGGAAATATATGTTCAGTATCCAATAATGTTCACTTGTATATCAATGGAATAATTAAAATTGCAAAGGCTGAGATAATTACCTGAAGTCGTAGTATAAGCTCCATTTTGATTTTCCCACACCAGGAAGCTTATCGACGGAACGACAATTATATAAAAGAAGGAAATTATTATTAGAAACAAAACTGAAGGAAAAATTGATGGGATCAATAATTGCATCCTACACCGCTTGTACAACACGGGTTATATTACGTTTGTGCGGACGTATGTAACACGCAAAAGTATTTAAGATATACCCGCCTAATATTATGGCCTTCTGTCTGTCCATTTGATGCCTGTTCATGTAAATTTGTGTTCAAGCTACAGGTTGCAATTTTTTAGGATATTCTGATAAAATTCGGTACGCTCGACATA